AAATATATCTGAGGAGATTGGAACATAGGTACTGTACTAGTTTTTTTTTTTTTTTTTTAAATTTTGTTCGTAGACGGCTGAGATTATTTTAGATACTTGATCTTTTTTATGGTCCAATGCAACTTTTATATGTATGCCAGTGTTGCACGCCTATGCCCTCGTTTGCATGAGGCTTGCTGAGGTATGTTTGGATGGAAGAATGAAGGGAATGGGGCAGAGTTTGTCTTTGGGGGAGGGGGGGTTTGCTTGGTAAATGGTAACCATGAAAAGTGTTAAAAATATTTTTAAAATTATGGTTTTAATTTCATCCAAATATTTTTTTTTTAAGGCAAAGTCTGGATTTAAGCTTCATTTCCCTTATTTTCCTTCCATCCCAAGTATATCCCAATTGATTTGCACGTTTTTCGTAAATTGAGATGATTTTTTTAATATACTTATTTCATATTCTGCAAATTATAATTAAAAAACTATTTACGAGTTATCTCAAGGAAGTCTTAAATTGAATGCAAACCAGTTGACGACTTGTGTATCTTTCCCGTGTGAATGAAATCTTCAATTCGTCATTGTCTGAAATAACGTGGCCGAAAAAGTACTTGTGAAAGGTTGCTTGTATCCCTGTTTTGCGTTGAGGAGCAATTTTTCAATAAAACTAGATGTTTGAGGTAAAAGGTGAATATTATGTGAATAATATAATAAAAAGGTCTTCGCAATAATTATATAGAAAATATTGGAAGAACAAAAAGTGCACAATATTTAAAAAGAGCCATATTATGCAGGGTTACTGTATTTGCTATTTTCAGCTTCATATTTTGTATTTTCAATTCAACTTTCGCCATTAAATCATACCGTATGATCCTAATTATGAACCAGACATGTCATGTAACAAACACTTAAACAGCATGATTTATTAAAAAATATATATCATGCATTAAACATTGGGACCGTGGGGCGTTGCAGGAAGTCAAAAATAGCCTGATATTGTCTGGGGATGTAGCAAGAAGGACAATGCAATCGGAAAACTGGCCTTCCCTTTCTCGATCTGCAAAATTTTCCAATAGTCCAAATTTCTCTGTCACGATTCATAAGCGTTGAAAAATCCCATTCTTTCACAGTACCACCATTTATTCCCCAGATCCCACCATGTCCTCTTGGTTAACAGAAAAAAAAGATCCCTCCATGTCCCTTCTCTCTCAAATCCCAAGAAACAGACATTTTCTTTCCTTCTTTTTTTTATCATACAATTAGATAGAAATCAAAACATAATTTTTAAAAGTGTTTTTATGATTTATAAAATAAATATATAAAAAAATTTATTTCGTTTTATGAAAAAATAATTTTTAAAAATATTTTTGATATTTGCCAAACACTCCCTACAACAAATTTTATCCCATAAGATTAATTATATAAACGACATAATATTGTTATGATCCATCAAAAATTTAATTTTTCAATAAATTACTGACCAAGAACTAGTTAATAAATTACTAACCAAGAACTAGTTATTAATGGTTTCATTAATTTTTTTTACACCTTATTAGTGGGTTTTAGACTGCTTGATTTATCTTCATGACGCATCCAATGCATTTTTTTTCCAGTTCTACAAATGAGAAAAATAGGGAAGTAATTAAGGAAAAAAAACAGAGATCAAGTAGATATGTATGGATTATATATACAGCTTTCGTGAAATCAAGTTGAGGCTCTTTGGCAATAGATACTCCTATTTGACGCTGTATATAAATAAATAGTAAATGGAAAACAATAATTAATTTAATACTTATATAATATATTGAATTTTACATTTCTCAGTTACGTTGTTATATTTTCAAATGTATTGTATGGTATTTAATGTTTTGATTTTGTAGTTGAATTAAGAAGCCCGATTTAAATTTTACTTACTAATATTCTTTAAGGAATATTTGGCAGGACATATAACTAAAACGATCTACCTGTTTTCATGATTTTGTAATCACAGAACAGTAGTTTGAAATAGTTACAAGAACGATAAATTTCAATTGTTATTATTGTTTTCTTATGCTTGTTTAGAATTACTACCTTATATTATAATTATAAGACTTTATTTATAATCTGTAAACGATAGGATCGGATGTAGTATTATTTATTACACGCTGGCTCTCAATTAATTTTATACATATATATAGCACAAACATATCTTTCTACATTTTCACTTTACACTGTTATTTTCCCTTCAATTATTTTCTGATTTACCGCATTAATTCAAGGGAACAAAAGGTGACGTAATTATAAAGGGATTAAAACAAACCAACATTATGTTAACATCAATGTCATGTCATAGACTCATAGCTAGTTGTGCTAACGTACAAGTTATATAATTGATTTATAAATATTGAAAAAATTAATTAGATTACTTATTTAAAAAAATCTATATTGATTTTTCAGAAGTTCTCAGTTATTCGTATCGCATATCACGTCCTAAATATGTATAATTAATTTAAAAAGTTTTAAGAAAAATTGTAAATTTAATAAATAAAATAATTTTATATTTTATATTTAAGCTAAAAATAAAACTTTCATGAACTGACGTCTTCATTAACCTTTTCATTTTGTGATCTTCCTTAATCCAGCTGCTCAATTCGTCCTGCTTGTATGTGCTCGCCCATTTCCTGGCTTATTTCAACGTCAGAATAATTAATTAATGATTGATGGGATTACAAATTTTAGCTTCCAGCTGAAAATTGGGGAAAAAAATAAAATTATAAATCAGTGCCATCTCAACAAGGCTAACGTGGTTTTTTACGAAAACAATTGAACTTGCAGCATAATGGTAAGTACATAAAACTATTAATTTTTCGTGCTCACCCATTTTTCGTTATTAATAATGAGTACGAAAGATCAAAGTTCTAGCTGACTCTTTTTTTTTTAACTGAATTTTTTTTGTTATTAATGCTGGAATCATTGTCATTAAAATAAAAAAAGCTATATCTAGTCAGATTAAGTCTCTAAAATTTCACACACAATTTTATATTCTGATTTGATCTCATGAGACCATCAATTCTTTCTTCAATCAATGAAAAGGTTGGCATCCTTGAGTTAATTGTTAAACCACATGTGTGTTTAGAATCATATACCTGTAAACCATAAAGGCTAATTATACATGATTATGGAATTTTAGAGGCTTGGTTGACAAAAACTAAATTTGTGGGACCAAAACTACAATTGAGGCTATCTAAGAGGGCAAAAAACTAGTTCAATATTGGTTCATTTGCAAATAATCATTGGAGTTTCTAAAACAAGGGATAGGTGACTCAATTTACACAGTTCAATAAGTTATTCTTTTTTATCCCAAATCAACAATATAATTCCATCCTGTCAGTGAATTGCTTCACTGAGTCCTTAGGTTATCAGTTGGAAAGCCAAGACATATTTAAAATGTTATGAATATACTTTTTTTTTTGGAGTGATGATACATCACATTCACATTCAAATGATTGAATTAGAGTGTGTTTGGATGAAACCAAACCGTGATTTAGAAAAGTGATTCTGGAGAATAGATTCTGGAAAAAATAGATTCTGTGAAGAATAGATTTTGTAAAAAAGTGATTCTGAGAAGTGAGAGTGTTTGGATAGTTGTTATCAGAAGCACTTTTTATATATACAAATTACTAAAAAAAACATAAGTTAATATGATAATTACAGAAAAAATAGATTTTATGATATATTTTAATTTGAAAAAATAAAATTGTTAATAATATGTTTTTTACCAACATAATTAATAATACATAAGATATATAATTAATAAATAATTAATGTCTATATATATTTATAAATATAAGATTAAATATATTTATAAAAAAATATGTTTATAAAAAAATAACAAGATACATATCATATAGGCCCTCACACTCTCCTTTTTTCTCCAAAAGCAAAAAAATTTTGCTTTTTCCAAAACCATGGTTTTGGAGTCAAAACCATGGTTTTGACCCAAAACCATGGTTTTGGTTTTTGGAGAGGCTGTTTGGGTAGCATTTTTCCCAAACCATGGTTTGGGGTGCTATCCAAACAGAGCCTTAATATTCTAAAACCAGGGGTACAAAAAATATAAAAGTATTGTTATAACATGTGAGTGATGAAAACGAAAAAGTAATGCATTTGCATATTAAAGTTCTTTATAAGTCAAAGATAATCAAAACTCAAACACGCGATGCTTGTGGCTTTAAATAAAAACATCAACCCGAGCTCATAGATAATCCCGTCCGAGCAAAAACTAAATTGAAAATGATACGTCGTACTAGTATACATGTTTTTTTAAAAAAATTTCAACTCTCATAGTTGTTAAGCATCAAGGTTGGTGACAAACCTCAAAAGTATACTAGTAAATCTAGATTTTTTTGTTATTGTTTTGTGAGAGAGGGGAGCGTTGTTTATATATATTTCCCATGATTGAAAAATTTAAAATTAAGATAGAAATGAAAAATATTAAAAAGAGCTATATGCATATGAATGTAACTTCTGCAGTGATTTTTTTAAAAAAAATACTCCTCTTATTATAAAATTTGAAAGAAACTCATAAAAACTACTATTTACAATTTTATGCAAAAAAAAATATATTTAAAAAGGGGAGAAGTATTAAAGAAATTAGTGTAATCTTGTACTCCTGGGCTAATAATAAATTAATAAAATTCAGTCAAAAACAGGGATTATCAAATATATTCTCCCCTATCTCGTCTTTATGAAGACTAAATATCTACCTTTTTCAATATTTAAAAAATAAGTTAATTTTAGTTAAAAACTTTAAATATGTAGGTGGATAGAAATTTTTTTTATAATGCCTGAAATAATTTATTTACTAATGAGGGAATATTACTCCTGTTTAGTAAGAACATAAATAAAAAATTACAATAAATCCTTTAAACAAAAATAAGTTTTTTATAATTAGTAACAAAATTATGAACCACAAAAGAAGCAAAGAGAGACACTTGGAGTAGAGGAAAACTAATAATTAATGTCAACAATTACACATCACAGTTGGGCTCAGTCTTGTAAAGGCGGCTTCCTGTCGCCTCTCTCTCTCTTTCTCTTTCCTCGCGCCTTCCTCCTCTCTCTCCTCTATTTATTCTCACTTTCTCACTTTCTCTCGCCGACACTCTCTCTCACACCCACAGCGGAACCACCCGTTAACTACGTTCAGGCATGGAGGTCGAAGTGGTGGTGCCGTCTCCGGCGCCGGACAACTTCAACTTCGACAGCAACTGCTCCTCCCCTTACATCACTGCTCCTTCTAGTCCTCAACGTTTCGGCAACTTCTTCTTCAGTGCCCCCACCAGTCCCAATCGCTCTCCTTCCCCTTTCTTCCTCAACGACGATGACTTGCCCAGACACTCCTCTGCTTCTTCTTCTTCCTCTGTCCCTTTCCTCTGGGAAGAAAAGCCCGGCGTTCCCAAATCCAAACCCACCAACAGCACCGAACAGGACAGGGATGGGATTGGGAACGAAGACTTTGAATTCGACTTCAGTGGGCACTTGGACAGAACTGCTTTGACAGCAGATGAGCTCTTCGATGGTGGAAAAATCCGGCCGTTGAAGCCACCTCCGCGGCTGCATTCCGGCGACGGGAATAGCTCTCCGGCGTCGAACTCGAATATGCCATCTCCGAGGTCGAGAATCTCTGAGGGAAAGAGAATCGTTCAAGAGGCGTTTTCCCCACGACATCAGAAAAGGAATTTCGATCCATTCGCAGCTGCCATGGAAGAAGCCCGTAAGAGTGAAGGATGGCGAGAAGATCAGAAAAGCCGAGGGAGAGAAAGAACTTTTAGGACGAATTCTGGTCGTAAAGGAAGCAGATCATTGTCTCCTTTGAGGGTCTCTGACATTATGAGTGACTCTGTCTCTGAGGACTTTTCGCAAACAGGCAAAAGAGTTTCTTCTTCTTCAACAAGCTACTCAAAGCCCACCACGCCTACTTCATCGTTATTATCATCGATCTCGTTCACAAAAGGTTACAGAAAATGGAGGCTGAAGGATTTTCTGCTGTTTCGGAGTGCTTCCGAGGGGAGAGCCACGGACAAAGACCCTCTGAGAAAGTACACGATGCTGTCGAAGAAGGCAGGGGAAGAGGACGCGAAGGACTCAAGTTTCCGGTCCTCGGAGGGGTCGGGTACGGGATCAACGTCACGGAGGAGAGGGGCGGCGGTTTCAGCCCACGAATTGCATTACACGGTGAACAGAGCGGCTGCAGAAGAGATGAAGAAGAAGACGTTCTTGCCTTACAAGCAGGGATTGTTAGGCTGCTTGGGCTTCAATCCTGGAATGCATGGCATCTCCAGAGGAATTGGATCTTTCTCACGTCCATGATCATCCACATTAATTTCTGGTTGCATCTTCTTCTCCAACAAAACCTTCATTTTGCTTCTGGCGAAAAAGAGAGAGAGCGTGAAAATCATACTGTATAATTTTCCCATGAGATAATGTACCTATTATCACCTATATTAGTCTGTGAAAAAAAAAAAGGTATATCTCAACTCTTAGAAATACCACCATATATATATATATATATATATATATATCCATTCTCTGAAATATTTCTGAAATTTAAAGCATCTATTTGGGGAGACTTCTTTGTAGCAGAAATTAATACCTCATGCAAGTGAGGATAAAGATCAGATCTTTTGTTGCCGAATTCACTCTGTATACAGAGAACGATTCGAAATCAAAACCTCCCGCATACACCCATAAAAATATATTGACAATAGCTAATATTCTATTTAGAGTATTGTTGGGACAATGAACATGAGCACTTCTCTTTCCAAAAATTCTAACGTTATCATCACTTTGTTGAGAAACTAGCCATTTCTGTCACGTCCAAACACTTTGCTTCCACAAATTGAATGAAAAGTTGAAAGCAGTAGTAGTAAACTCGACTTGAATTCTCACCATTACCTTCTCATCCTCTTCTTCTCCACTACTTTTATTTTCTCTTCACAACCATTAGATCAAAATTCCAATGGTCCAGGTTTAACATCTTATAAAAATAATGTTATTAAAAAAAATAATAAATTTAAATTGTTAAAATCTGGTCTGAACAGTTTACAATTGTAATAAAAAAAATTAAAAAAATTTGCTTTATAATAACAGTCTGTAGTTATGAACTGTTCAGATTAGATTTTAACAGTTTAAATTTATTTATCTATTTTTTATCATAATATTTATTTTTATAAAATGTTATAACATATTAAATCTGGATCATTGGAGTTTTGATCCAATGGTTGTGAAGAGAAAAAGAGGGTAGTAGAGGGGAAGAGGATGGGAAGAGTAGTGGAGAGACTCTAATTCTGTAGCAAACTAGCAATCACAAAACTTAAGTAGGTGATATTTCAAATGGGTACGTACTTTCAGTTGGTAATTTTATTTATTGGCCAGGGGAGACAATGTGTTAGGTGGATTTGAGAGTATTCAAGTTGGATAATTAATTAAATATTTTTCTTATTCTGTTTATAAATCACTTCTAATATCTTTTATATAAATAAAAAAAATTAAATTTTATTAATTTTTATTTAAAATTCATCAACTTTTTTAATTTTATCTCTATTTAATATACACTATGTCTTATGTAAATAAAAGCAGTATAATAATAAATGATGGATAAAATTATATATTTATACAAAAAATCTCTCTATAGGATAAAAAAAAAAGTCTTCTTTCTATCCTATAAATAAAAACAGAGGAACATATAATTAAGCAAGTTAATATTAATGTTTTAGCGAGCATTTGTGAAGTATGCATAAGTTGCTTGGAAGGGGGAAAAACAAACTGACAAAGGATGCTGGTCGCCGTCCAACCACAACAAATGAGTATTTGCATTTTCCGCATATGTCTGTTTCATACTCTTCTCATTAATTAAGACATGCATGTGTGAAATGTATGACTAGTTCAAAAGTTTGGTATGATTTAATATTATAAAATTATCAACATGTAATATAAAATACTCTTGATCCGATTCTAAATATAATATTCTTTTTGTAGTGTAATTTACATTACAGAAAGGGTCTTATATTTAAAAGAGGAGAAGCACTATATTTATGAAATCAATTAAAAAGAATAATCTCATCATGAAATCCGTTAACGCAATTCTACTACTTAAACTGCATGTTATTCTTTTTTTTCCCCACTAGTATATTTGAACGTTTAAGTATTTGAAACATCAAATCGGATCAAATGCAAACCTAAAATGGTATATAAATTACAGCTAATGAAGGGGACGTGAAAGGATAAAGATGGAGAGAACATACAAGCTTAGAAGAGAGAATCGAAGAAAGAATTTGAAAGCAAACAAACAAATAAATAAAAGGAAGATAGGAAAGAAAAGATGGCAACTTTTGTAGTATAATGATTAGCCTGTGGAATGATGATGCTGTACAGTGTTAAAAGATCGTTGTTGCATAAGACATACCAACACCTACAGTGAATAAAAGCCGAGTACAATGATATATCCTTTGAATTCTTTAAATTTTATAAAAATATAACGATAAATATATTACTCTAAGCACGTACGAAATAATCTATTTTTTTAACATGGATAATAATTTTTTTTTAATTTTATGTGATTTATATTCAAGAGGATGAAATATTAAAAATTTAAAACTTGTGAAGTCGGCCCCCTGCAGAGTACTAGAAGAAAGATAAAATAAAACAAACTATGAATAAGACCTTTTTCTTAATTTATATATTAGGGTATTAGTTTTTTTTTAAAAGAGTATTATAAATATTTTATAAGTATTTCAAGTGATTAAATATTTAAATAGAGGATAATTTGTCAATCAGTACCGACAGTAATGATGGTGGTTGACACTCTTGCGGTAATCAGAAAATCTTAAAGGCCCTAACCATGTGGCTTGCTCCCATGCTTTTTATATAATTAAGAAGGCCTCTAAAAATAAAAAGTTCATAAAGATATCTGATCAAAAGGTCAATTAATTAAGTTAATCACAGCTAAATCAAAGAAAATCATATTTAACTGGTCAAAAAAGAAGGCCATATGTATTATCCTGTTGTAATATATATATATTATATATATATTGATAAGGGGATGATGTATTCATCAGGGTGAAATATTTCACATCTATATCTAACTACTCATGACATATTATTTATTAAAAAGTCCTTCATAATATGAAGTAGACTAGTTTAACGAGTGTTATCAAATACTCTTTTTTTTTGTAGAAGTTCGTTCTCAAATTAATTGAGTATTTTTAAAACTAAAATACATTTTGTGACACAAATATTCTTAATTAGTTTTCCTTATTTTCGCAAATTAATTAATTATCTGTACATATAGAGTCAAATAGAGGGATAGTGCTGCAATATGTAAAATACAGTACTATTGTATTTTTTCAGCAAAATACCTAGTATTTGATTTTATATCAAATGAAATACAACTGGGTTAAACCCAAGACACAAGGTAATCAAGTGCAAAAATATACTCCTTTTAATCTATAATATTTTTTAAATTGATACAAGTTATCCATTTTATATTTATTAAAAAATATGAATGGGAAATTCTACTATCTCGCTCATCCTTATAAGAAGATAAAGCGAACAGTTATCAATAGTTAATAACTTAATATGTCAATCTTTTATATTTTGGATGAAAATATTTCTTGGGAATATTTCTTAGGGAAAATTGCAAAAAAAGACCTTGGAATTGCAAAAACGCAGATAGGGACCCTTGACAACTTCACTATGGGTTTTGACAACTTCAGGGCATATTATTCTTGTCAAAAACCCATAGTGAAGTTGTCAAGGGTCCCTATCTGCGTTTTTGCAATTCCAAGGTCTTTTTTTGCAATTTCCCCTATTTCTTATATTTTGGACACAAGGGGGTAAGTTCCCACCAGCTCAAATATGAGTTACATTGCCAAACATAATTCCTTATCCCGTCGGCATCCATTGCTTGTATTTATTCACTGTTTTTTTTCTTTTTTTGGGCCAAAGTGTTTTTCCACTGTTAATCATTGTTTTATCCAAAAAATACTAATAAACATGTAGATTGTCCCTAAATCAAAGGAAAGGCAGTGAATAAAGTGGGGGAAAAGAGGCCCATTCCTTATTGAAAGTAATTAGAAAATAATTTTAAAAAAAGGTCACGTCAATGATGAGACACAATTGGCAATTGCTTTCCTTGATAAACTAGAAATTTGTCCCCCACATGACCCACTCCTCTCTCCTTCTCAGTGCATAACCACTGATGCCATCCATCTGTGTATCAATGTATAATCGTAATTAATGCACTGAGCCTCTTCCTAATTTCTTAACTTAGGAATAATAGTGCGTAGATATTTCATATTATTTGATTTTAATTTGTAACTAAAATGACAGAGTTTTATGTCACGCATGGAAAAAATAAATAAAAGAGAGAGGGGGAAGGTCGGTGGTGTGCACGTGGTCATCATCTTTTTGAAAAAATGTTTTTTTTGGGGGGGGGGGGGGTGTTGTAATGAAAAAATAAGGCAAAAGAGGACCCTTAGACCTTCATAATGAGTATGTGCCTAATTTGTGTGCGTGTGCCGTGTATATCGGAGGGCAGTCCTACATGCACACTATTGCAATAATGTCATGCTTCCCTAGTTTTTCCTTTATTCGTTCATTGCATCTCCTACAATATTGTAATATACTTAATTGCTTATGATTTGGTAATATGAAAACTTTTATATAAATATGAGGTTGGGTATTAAATTTTCCTACACTTTAAGTTATTGCCACTTAACCGTCTTTTTTTTTTTAAATATACTACCTCCCGTTTTTAATATAAGCTTTAATTAAAAATTCAATTGATTTAAATAAAAGATATTAATTTATTTTGTCTTGATATTTACCTAATTTACTTCGAGGTAATCTCAACGATCATTATGCATTGTTAAGGAGTTTCTCTCAGAGTAGTAATTTTCTGTACACGATTAATTAGAGTATTTTAGAAAAGAGAATATTCATTTATTATAAAGAACTAATTTATCTAATTTTTTTAACATTATAATTTAGTTATATAGCTCTTATATTAAGAATAAGAGATAGTAACTTACATACAACATCATAGTATTAGCTATCAAGTCATGCTTATTATTATAGCCATCTTTTCTACAAATTAAAATTGTATTGTACTTGTTTAATTCTATTTATAAGGTACTTTTAATATGTATTACGTAGGTCAATAAAAAATTTTAAACTGTGTTAACTCTCAATAAAATAAGAAGAATACAATCAAGTCCCAAATAAGAAACATAATTACTAAAAAGTTCCAATAATAACTTAAGCAGTTAGTAATGACAAGTTTTAAAGTAAAAAATGCAACTTCTTATACTTGTTTGGTAATTTTTTTATTATTGGGACCTCATTATAATTCTCCATTAAAATATAGCCACTTTTTAATTTTATCCTTATTTAATATACACACTTTAAAAAAAAATAACTATGTACGCTATAATAAATAAAGAACAATATAGTATATTCGTGATAAAAATTTAGTGAAATGACTTAACAAATAGGACCAGAAAACCCTTATCTCTTGTCCTATCAATAGGACCAGAGGAATATATTATTTGGTTACGTAGAGAGGATTTAGTTGTTCTTAATTATGGTTAAGATCTTAAGTCCTTTAAATAACAAGGTTATATTGATAGAACTATAATCAATTAACTCAAATAACACTTATGACATCAAACAGTTGTATTAGAACTTTTTTGATTAAAGAATATAAGGGGTTGCATCATTTTTCCCAATTGTCGGACTATTTTACTTCTAACTCACTGTAAGTTCCAGAAATCATTAGTTATACTTTCAAAGCAAGTGTTTATTAATTGATTTTTTTGGCCAGAGTTTATTAATTAATTTAAAAAATTAACATACTTTGATACCTTATTAATTGAATAACTGCTTTTATACTTAATTATACTAACGATTTGTCTAATAATTTATTAGTATATAATTATATCCTTTGTTTCACAATCATAATCGCTCGCGATGAGAAAGCATTATATCTTGAGTTGGCTGATTGTCCTTAAAGCTGTTTGTGTACAAATTGCTATATGTATATTTTTATTCCTTTTTTATTGCCAACATATATTTAAACACTTGGATGTTGATTAATTAGTGAGATTAAGATATAATGTTGGTCATGTTTCATATTATTAAACCCACCGTCTCAACGAGTGGTTTGGAAGTTGGTGATTCCATCAATTTCAAATTGAACGGGTAAAAAAGAAAGCCCCGCATAAAATGAGTGATAATTATCGCGGCGAGTCAACCTTTCAGACTCAGTATAAAGACCAACGCACTACTTAATGTGCGTGGACCAATAATTAATTTTTTTTGCCAACGTGTACCAACAATTAATTGGTCTTTTATTAAGTTGGGAGACTAAAAATGACCATGTATGTTGGTCATTTGTAACACATTTTTGCATATTAATAATATATTAAATTGGTAAAATTTTTAAATTTCATTATTATTAAATAATGGATAAGATTGAAAAACGAGAATTACATATACTATAAGTAACTTGGTCTAAAATTTTTTCTTACGAGTGACTTACATTTAGCACCAACACAGGTTTTTAATTAGTTGGTTCTAATAATCAACTTGGATTGCTACCTCATTATCCTGTAATTCACACGCATTATTTGACTGTTTCATCATCCAAAGATTTAGTCTGTCACCTGATCTGCTTCTGAATTGATTTTTTAAAACTGTGTTATTGTGGGGAGAGCGGGTTGCATTAGGCACACTTGCTCCAAAAAGTAAAGTACTCCTTCGGTCCTTAATATAAGACACATTTAATTAATTTGATTAGGTTAAGGAAGTTAGCTAAGTTAGTTAATTATAAAAAATGTGACACGTTTTTCCTAAAACACTGTAATCATCTTTTCTAATACCCCTTCTTCCTCTTCTACTTGATTATGGTTGAGGGAGTATCTATAGGGGTAATTTAGAGAAAATCGATAAATATAAGAAATGAGTCTTATATTTAGGACCAAAACTAACTTAATAATTGAGTTCTATATTAATTACCAGAGGAGTAATTTTTTCTTTTTTAAAAAAGACGCAACTTTAACTAAGAATAATATTTTAAAAAAGAAAAAGAAAAAGGATAATTATGGACATGGTTGTATGATATCAATTACATATCAGTATGTCTTGTAAGTTCAAGTACTAAACTTCTATGGAGATCATTGTGATATTATTGTTAAAATTTCAACTAAACTAAAGATAATCATACACTTATGACTTTCCTCATTAAAACGTGATTTTAAATGGTATGCATCTTATGTCTATAATATGAGTTATTTCTTCTAAGCTTGTTTTAATCCAGAATATAAATCCAGTTTGAAAATATCTAACGCATTTAGTATCTGTTCTTTTCTTTTTCATTGAGCAATTTGTTATAATTAATGCAATATTGGCTTTTGTTGAGAACAAAATTAAAAAAGTTTATAAATTATTTAGAAATTTGATACCATAAGTACCTTTTAATTAATTTTTCTAGTTGACTTGAGGTCATGGAGAGGAGAAGTAATTATTGATAAACATTACTCCCTCCACCCCTTATTATAAACAACATAGAACTTTCTTATGTAGATCAAAAAGTTAGTTAAAGACAATAAATATGTAAAAATTAGAAGTTCTTTTTCCAAAATATCTTTATTTATAGGAGGAAAGAGGGTATAAGAAAAGAATAAGAAAATTATTATAATAAAGAGAATTATGAAAGAGAGAGAACATGTGATGAAAAGAGATGATGATTTGAAAAATAAGATAATAAATATATTGAATATTAAAATAAGTAATTGATAAAGACAAAATAGGAAATTTGCTACAAAAATTTAAGATGCCAAAATATTTTCTCTGATCTATCTACTACCCTAAAGTATTTTATAGGGCATTCAGCATCTTAAAATATTTTTCAGATGCATTTAGTACTGTAAAGTATTTTTTGGTACATCCAATACCTTGATGTATCTTTTTAGTTATGTCCAGTATGCAAAAATATTTTTGGTGTATCAAGCACTAAGCCAAAAAAAATATTTCAGCGTGCTAAATGTACCTAAAAATATTTAGGATACTAAATATACTACAAAATATTTTGAGTGTTGATGCATATGAGAAAGTATTTCAGGCTATTGAATGAAAATTAATCCAAAAAAAACTTATTTTTATAGTATTTTATCAAATTATAACTTCATAATCAAATATTTATCACCGCAGTAGGGATCGGGGACAAGTAAGGTGACCACGAAAAGTCAGCCTGGTCAGCCGAAATGGTTGACCTTTATGATTGAAGGACGACTCAGTCATTACTAACTACGCAGCATGACCGCATGTTGTTCCTGGTCCCCCTTACTTCCATTCACACTCTCAAAACTAAACAACGTGCACTGCATCTTCTTTCGCCATTCTCATCCATCTTCCCCCCACAAAAAAAAAAAAAAAACGTGTTATTATCAGAACCAACGAGAAATTTATTCATTTTGTCGCCCTAGATTCTTGACAGTCCTCTAATAAATCCTGCTCTTGGAATATTAATAAGCATATACGTCTAATATTGAACGCCATCATCAATTAAATCTTATGGGACCTCGTAAATAAATAAATAAATAAATAAATCTTACGGGAAAGGCTATACATTTCGTTAATGCCATGAGCTCCCTTCCTGTTTTGATTTTTATTTTTTCGAAAAAATGTCACTAAGATATGTCATCATGTCATTTCCTTTGTGGAGAACATCCATTTTAATCGTGACTTGATTTTACTAAGACCTAACGCAGGCTCATGTATGCATTGCTCACTTCGTAGGCTTCCAAAAACAAAATTACCTTGCCACAATTTATTTCGCCTTGAACCAAGCACGTGCATCACGAAACTCTGTCTAATTCACCAGTTCTTTTAACAAGGCGTTCCTCACCCTAAAACATCCTCACCGATTACAACCCAAGTTAAAAGGAAGAAACGACACATCCTCGGGTGGATAAAGGTCACAACTTCAACCATGAATCATAGTGCTCTACCTTGTCAAAAGTTGTATATGCTCACTTGTAATTGTAATTTTATAGGTGAAGGGGTAGGTTCTAGCTATCTAAGAAGATTCCAGCTGAACTCTAATGCGACAATTATAACCATCAAAATCCAGCGGCTCAGAGTATTCTCCATGGTCAGTAAGGCTTGCTGTACAGCCCAAGCAGGGGTTTTTCCCTCTCTTCTACTCTTTTCCTGGCAGCCTCTCTTGCCTTGAGAGCTGCTTTTTCTTCTTTGGACATAACCTTGGATTTTGCATCTGGAGCTCTCTTTCTCTTTCCCACAGCAAGAGAGGAAGGGGCTGCTTTCGTAGATCTCATCGGGTTCACAGCAGTTGACAGTACTGGTCCAGGTGCAGGTCCACTTTGAGACTTACTTGCGCATTTATCTTCAACTGATTTGGATTGTGAAGCTGACGTTGGTTTTTTAACAGTGGGTCCGTTATGCCCAGAATTAGAAGAAAAGTGAGGTGAGGCATATGCCTCTTCTTGAGTCACCCACTTGCCTGCAGCAATTTTTCTGAGTAAATACCTGGTTATCAATACAGTTGTGATATCATCACACACGAATCACATCGTGAAAAATGACAAAACCAAACACAAAACACAGACGGAACAACAGTGCGTGCAACGCGTACCTATGGCATCAGAATAGTAGAACCCTGACTTTGGATCATAATAGAAACCATTGTCTGACGGTAATAATAGCCCGAACTGCTGTCGACCTCCCATTCTGTAAAATCAGGCAGCAAGAGTCAGTTTCAATTATGCTAAACCACTGACAGAATGACACGTTCGCTGTGGGTCAAGTGCTAAATGTATAGTTTGGCAAAATATCACAAAAGCTACATAGAGGTCATACAAGATACAATGACACTGGTGTTTCTTCATTACAGTTTGTTGACAATTAGGCATTACACTAAAAGTAGATTTAGGCATATCCAATTGATTAAAATCCAAAGAAAGCTTTTCGTTGGACAAAGACAGAATCATCTTTCCCCTCAAGCCTTTTCTCCCCTATGAGCACAGTATTAACAAACCCCAAAAGATTTGCAAGACAGATTAGCCTTTTCGAGTTGTATAGAAATAAAGAAAAAGTAAACTAGTTCCAAAAATATGGATCAATTAACAGAGTCAACACAACGAGTCCTTTCCAAAAGTATTAGGTCTAGCTAAGAAGGGTTCAAATGACAACTTGCTTCAGACCATGGAAGATGAATAATTAGTTTTTTACTACAACCTTGCCCATCACCTAGGACATCTGGTGCACGTGATTCTCTGGCACCTCAAACTCGCCACATCCTTTTGATAGCTACGCTGTGCTTTCTGCGTATATAAATATAAAGACGTAACCATATATGACTAGAAACATATTTGAAAATGTTGTGGCATGAACACTGGATATTCTTGATTGCTGTTTGGAATAGGTGAACACAGATGGAGGTGAAATAATAAATTACATGCTAATCACCATATGTCGTGCACCAACGATTAATCTCAGAACCTGTGTGATTGTGTCTTATGCAAAGTACAAATGATAAGGGGATAGCCTTGAAAATATGACAAGAGCATTCTGGA